TTTCCATGCTTCACTTACATTTTTCAAGTTTTATTATATCAGGAAAACAACCCTCAAGAGTCCTAAAACATGCACTTACAAGAACAAATAACCAAAAGTTTCTTGCTAGATGAAAGTATTAGTATGTATTTTGAGTAGTAAACATATAGTAAAAGAGCTTCCTGAGAAATGAGCAACAGCTCAGATGATGCCTCCATTTATAGAAAGTGAAGAAAAATAGTGAAAAAAGGGAGATGAGTTGATGATTAAGCCCCTCAGAATAAAATAAAATCATTAAATACAAACCACAGATTATTAGTATTTTTAAGATCCAACTGTTATAGTTGTTATTTATAGTATGAAATCAAATCTTTACCCATTTTTAATGCTAAAGGTTGTGACACTTCCAAATTGTGAAACTAAAAACTGAAAATAATGAACCCTTGTTTTGATACACAAATAAAAATGCTCAAACCCAACATGGTAAATGGTCAATTGACTGCAGATTAGCAGCAGGCCAGTCTACCTCCTGAGCCACAGCTTGCCCATGAAGAAATAACACCTGCCACATGGTGTTATACAGGTGTTGTTTCTTCATGATGAATGTGTTTTTGTCAGTAAGCTGCTTTATGGTGTGTGTGTACACCGTAGGTTGATGGTATGTATGCCATGGGGCATTTTTTTCTTCTATTATCATCCATTTATGGCTTAAAAGCTGAGGCCCAAACTTCATTATTGATGTTGGAAACAGAACTGCAACTTAATGGACCTCAAGCTTTGAACAAGAACTTTGAGTCTTATGGTTTTCTGTTTAGAACACAATTTATTGATGAAAGGAGCGGGGAGTTTAGCTCACCTTCACCTTCCCTGTTTCCTCCATGGTGAGTCCAACCCAAATGTGGCTCCATCGATGTTCCAGCACGTCCACTCAATTACCCTGAACCAGAGCTCATTCAAATGATCCACATGCAGTCTCTTTGCAGGGACTAGGAGTCTGAATGAGACTTTGAATCTTTGTTGACCCCCCGTGGCTTCCTTTGCAGTAGATGAATGCCTAACAAGCAACGAGAGTGCCGTGTGTCTGCACAGCATGGCACACTGTTGATTCCAACACATTTTTTATTGTGTCCTCACAGATGTCATTTAGGCATTGTAAAGCTAAGCTAAGACATATATCTCTGTTGCTGAGTTTTGGTTAAGTTCTCCAAAACGTTGTTCATTTCAAGTGTTGATTTTGCAGTTATCTTACCTTGGCCAAAATAGACTCTGGCAACATTGACTGGTCTGGTTAGAGAGCAAAATATCCAAATTAAGCCAGAAATATCCAAATCCAGTCAGAGAAATGAGGCGAATGCGGAAGTGACTTAAACCTGCATTCTATTGAACAGCCAGCAGGGGGCGACTCCTGTGGTTGCAAAAACAAGGGAAAAAAAGCAAGAAGTCTGGTTCCATTAGAAATAATGGTAAAATGTTGCTACTTCTCACCTGATTTAATACCTCAGTAAAGCCTTTCCTAATGAGTTCATGGTCTCAGTCGCTACTTTCATGTCTTCTTCAACACAGCATGATGTTCATTTAGTAAATTATGGTCCCATGTAGAGGAAAATAGACCATAAAGCAGAGTATGCTTCAGGGCAGGGGTTATCTGTGATTGATTACTATGGCGACCTGTCAATCAGGCTAGAGTGATTCGTAGTATGTTGCCGTTGAAAAAGCGTGTTAGGAGTTGGCTGTTCACTTTCTCTGGTGAGTACATTTAGTTTTAAGCCTGTTGTTTGCTAGACAAAATTATCATCCCGGTTGAAATGACAATTAAAGTGAATTACAGATGCACCTAGATAAGCAAGCTAGCTAGCTCCACACACAGCCATTAGCTCCACCGTCTTGTCAAACTCGGGGCTTCAGAACGGCAGTCCACAAACCAGCGGGTGACGTCATGATGACTATGTCCACTTATATACAGTTTATGATATAAATAGTATAAATTATATAATAAATTTGGTACAAACATTCATGGTCCTGGGAGGATGAATTTAGATGACATTGGAAATCCCTTTGCTTTTCAAGTAACACCACCAACATATCAAAAATCCCACTTGTCCAACACTTTCGTATGTGACAGGAAATCTTTAAAATGAATGACTCGTCATATGTGCAGCTAAAGTGGTTCTAGACTTGTCCTCTTTTGATCTGGACTAAAACAGCTCACAACAATTGTCCTCAGAGAATGAATTCTGACAACTTTTGTCATCCCCTTACTTTTCCTCTAGTGCCAACATGACCTATTTCTTTTGGAGGAATTGATATCAGTGATGTCAGAGTAGTTCCATACCTTTCAACTCTCCTTTCCACAAGGACAAGTTAATTCTCTTGAATAGAACCTTTTTTTTCTCTTTCACCTCATAAACATATATATTCGTGGGAAACAGACATATACATTGCACAGTAAGTGTGAAATAAAATCATGTACATAATATAGTATAGTCTCCTGAAGCTCCAGACTGCCTCCTCAGCAAAGTCTCACCTACAACCAGACCCTGCTTCCCCCTTCAGTCTGACCTGTCAGAGCCTCAGGAAGCAGAGCCGAGGTCTGCAAGAACTCAAATCCACCCTGCGTGTTTACAGGACTTTGTGACATCATATAAAGCCTGAAATTTAGCTCCCTCATGATCAGTTAATCATTGTGTGTTTCAGCTGAAATACTGCACACTTTGGTTCCTGGGTAGTTTTGAAAGGAGGCTTAATAGTCACGTAATAAAGTCTCACGCAGGATCTGTGACAGTTATGGATGTTGTTTTTTGATTTAATTACAGTTCTGTCAACCACTGAACTGTATGTGTGTGCGTGGGTTGTCAGTGTGTAGGAAGTAAAGTTGTCAGATTTAAGCGCTGGACAGAGTGGACCTTGTTTATTCATAATCTGCTGACAATAGATAAGCTGTGAGCGACAGGAGGCTTTCACATAGATCTCCCAGGAGCCAACAGCCTGCCACAGCTTGTTAAACAATGAATCACTGTGCCCTATGACATAAAAATAATATTAACAATTGATTGAATGTTCAAGATAAAACCACAGATTTCTGGCATTGAAGCTGAGTGAGGCGCTGAAACAGGCCCGCCGTCTGGGAGTCTGTAAACCTGGTTTTCCAGCCCAAGCTCAGGTTGCCCTCGACGCCTTCATGTTCATTATTTATGATGATGTCAGGTTACTGCCATGTCTGCTTGTCAGCTCGTCACACACTCACAAGATCCAATCACACAAACACTAGGTGCTTTTCATGCAGCTGAATATCTTAAAAAAGTTTTTATGCTTGGCTGAGATGGAAAAGATGGGAAAATGAAAATGCAACAATGTGCATTACAAACAGTGAATAAATCATGACGTACATGAAGTATGCCACTTCCACTGAAGAGACAAAAACCTATAAGGTATGTGTGAAGCAATGCAGAGACTGAAACCTTTGAGGTGTGACTGGATCTCTTTTAACTATGTCATCTCCTTGCACCTTCTTCTTCTGCAATGAATTAATGGCGCCTGACTGGAGAATTGGTGCCACCAGCTGTTTATTTTGGTGCACTCTAACTTCTAAAATTTGCACAACAATTTGAAAGGACTAGAAACACGCATTAATTCGCATTTCCTTTTGCAGATGTAAATTAGGTTAAAATATGCACTACATTTGGATGGAAACCTGGCTACAGACACACATTATTCATTTTTACACAAGCTCAAACATTTTTGCAGCCAGTAGAAAAAAATGTTTAGAGAGTATTTGTACACAAAGCATATAGTACGACAGTGACTCACGGTGTAGGAAATACACATCGGTTTGCATACATGATGGGAGAAAATGTTTTTCTACTTCATTCAGACATGATGTCATAATGACATGTTTTCACTATGCTGCACAGTAAAGGGTTCTGGGTATTAAGACACAAAGCTGAACAAACACAGATGTTCAAAAATCTGGACACATTTTCATCACATATCAGCTCAATCTGTCTGTCTGTGATTGGTAGTCGAGATTTAGCACGAGGCAGCTTCTCTTTGTACTTCAGAGGATGTGGATGGTTATGAAACCTGCTCCCACAGGGTAGCGGGAGAAGAATAAAATAAAATAGAAAATATTTATATACAGTATATATACAGTTCAAAAACAAATATATGTAAGTGATTAACTCGTAATTTTCTGTTCTTAATTTCATAAGAACTGCTTGTAACCCTGATTGGATTGATGACATGTTTCAGGTGTCTGCTATAGAAAATATGCTGAGGTTTCTACTTCTGCAGAAAGTGTGAGTGGATTTCTGTGGATGGTTGTTGCTGCTACAGGTGTCTCTTTTTTATCTGTAGTGTTTTTTCAGATTTAACTATCTGAAGAGAAACATTTACTGTGAATACACCTAAATCAGCAAAGTATATCTATGCAAACCAAACACTGCTGGCTGATGGTGGTAGGAGGAGGGAAAAGGACTGTTCAAGAGGCCTCCTCTCTGTACTCAGCACCACGTATTATAACTGCTGACATTTCAGCTAGGACCATCGCAGCTCATCACGCATCAGTGAAGAGCTATTATTGGGGCATTTAGCAAAAATGACATGCTGTAGCACTAATGAAAGTTAACTTAACATTGACATTTGCTCACCACGCAGAGATGAAGCTGCCAATCAATCTGTCACTAGCTGGAGATGGAACTGAGGCAGAACGCAGGGATCTTAGCAGGGTTACAAAGTAGGTGTGTGTGTGTATATATGTGTTTGCGCACTCTAAGAAAGGTTCAGACAACAGTGCTGGTTTTCTATACAAAAAGCTTAAAATAAGGTGGTTGGATGGACGTATAACCTTTAAACTTTAACTCTGACACCAGAAACTCCTGTCATCAGTCACAGTGGTTTCTTGTTATACCATGAAGAGGAACTTGTCCTCTAAGCTTGATGAGAAAGATATAAAATAACACAACCTGTAGAAACACTTCTTCTCATTCTGACCTCTTGGCCATTTTGTCTTTGTCTTTTCCCAGGATCCCTCAGCGCAGAAGGTGGGCGGAGGCAGGAAGAAGACTGTGTCCTTCAGTAGCATGCCCTCTGAGAAGAAGGTAGATTAGCATCTTTAGTACATGATAAAAAAATGTTGTTGTACTTTTTGTAATTGAACATAGATCATAAAGTTGAAGTTGATTTTCTGTCCCAGGTGAGCAGTGCAGCAGACTGCTTGGCGTTCATGCAGGGTGGGTGTGAACTGAAGAAGATCCGGCCCAATTCCAGGGTTTACTGTCGTTTCTACACCCTGGACGCAGACCTTAGCTGCTTACGCTGGGAACCGTCTAAGAAGGATGGGGACCGGGCTCGGCTGGACGTCTCCAGCATGCGAGAGGTTCGCATTGGGAAGAGCACCGAGACATTCCTCCATAACGGCCCTCTCTTTGAACAGCTGGCTGAGGAGGCAGCCTTCTCTATCATACATGGGGATGACTACCAGGTACCAATGTTGAGACATGCTTCATCCTTAAAGATCTACAGAGAGATTTACATTCATACAACCTGTTAGAGTTCCCACCATCCACCTAGTAATCTTTATTATCTGTCCCACCCTGCAGTCCCTGGACTTGGTTGCATTGTCGGCAGATGTGGCCAACATATGGGTGACGGGCCTTCGCTATTTGTTGGCCCACCCCTCAATCATCGGGGGAGCTGGGGGAGGTGGAGGAGGAGGGCTGGGTGAAGGAGGGGGGCTGGCGGTAGAGGGCAGCCTGGGAGGCAAGATTAGGAGTGAGTGGCTGGCGGCGGAGTTTGCCCAGGTGGATGAAGATGGCTACGGCATCGTGTCAGAGGACGTGGCAGTCGCCACCATCTGTAAACTCTGCCCCGGTATCAAGGAAGCCAAGGTGAGTGGGAGATCTTCTGAAGAAGTGTGAAATAATTTCAAATACACCTTCACGCAGACATGAATGCTGCACGCAAGCAAAATGGCCAAATTATGGCCGAAGTGACTGGGTTGGCTGGTTGCATTTGGGTATCAAATAGGAAGCTGTCCACCACCAGTTGCAAAAACGCATTTTTACATGATGATTTTACCTGTTTTATAATATAAAACACCTAAAATCATTAAATTAACAAAAATTAAATTAACAATTGATCACATGACTACTTGTATGTGAATGAGGCCGCTCATGGTGATGAACCTGCATCACCAGACCCTGTAGTTGCTTCAAATCTGTGGTGAGTTTCAGCTTATTGTTTTGGTTTTTCAGCAGCTTTATTGTTTTGGTTCACTATCACCGCTTTCATAGTTTTGCCAGAAAACCCGCTGTACACATCCTGCAGAGCACCAAAGACATACAAAAGAGTCAATAGATTAATCCATAATGAAAATAATCTGGATGCAATCACTGCAGAGGAAGACTGTTCATACAAAGCTTTCCACACAGAAAATAGTAAAGTAACGAAACTAGCTAAATGTTATAGACACATAAAAATAAAACACAGCTTGCCAGCTGTCTTGCATCAACAAAGCTCAGATATTGATGAAGCACTCCACCATGTACTGTCATCTTTTTACTCAGGACTGTACGTCTCAATTCCCGTCAACTACAGCCACAGCAGGATGTTGTATCTCCTGATCAAATGGTTTGTTCCTGTATTCGGAGCAGTAGAATGTATTTCATCCTTGTTGGTTTGCTGCTTTAGTTAGTTTGGATTATCACCTGTGCTGCCTGAACATCAGACAGACACAAAGAGACAGAATTAGCCTGGAAACACATGGAGCATAGAAATCTGCATCCACCCAGATAGGTGAGCTGACCGCTGACTACCTGCAAGAACTCACACATTTAACAAGATGATATCGGAGTGGGAGGATATTGGCAGACCTTGGCTGAGCACAACAACATAAAAACGTAGAGAAGAGGAAGCAGACCCAAAAAAAAAAAAATGAAATGAAAGGATAAATGAAAGGAAGAGATAAGGAATTAGAGGTCAGTCAATTTAATGTCCTTTTTAAAACAAGATAACTAAAGTTTAATCAAATGTGTCAGCTTCACTAAATGAATAAGGCTTTACTAATTAACTCACTTCATCTTTCGCTTTAAAAACTGTCGATCCTGCCTGACTCTCCCCTCTTTCACCGAATTTCTCTTTCCTCCAGGTACGTCTGCGTTTTAAGGAGATCCAGCGCAGCAAGGAGAAGCTGACCTCCCACGTGACACTTGAGGAGTTCCAGGAGGCATTCTGTGAGCTTTGCACCCGGCCCGACGTCTACTTCTTATTGGTGCAACTGTCGAAGGACCGCGAGTGTCTGGACCCTCAGGACCTCCGTCTCTTCTTGGAGACTGAGCAGGGTTTGTCTCTGGCGACAACCGAGGGCTGCTGGGAGCTCCTGAGGCGCTTTGAGCCCTCGGCCCAGGGCAGGGAGCGGGGGCTTCTGGGTCTGGATGGATTCGCTCGTTACCTGCAGTCTCCGGAGTGCCAGGTGCTCGACCCCGAACACCTGGGAGTTTGTCAGGACATGAACATGCCTCTGTCCCACTACTACATCAGGTGCGTGTGGTATTTTAGTTCTGAAAATAAAACGTATTTTATTCCACATGTCAGTCACAACGCGGCAAGTAAATCTCACAGAACCATTCAAATGAATCTAGTAATTAACCGTTTGCTTAATCTCTCCTTCGAACAGCGATTGTCCAATCATCGCTTAGGAGCCTGAATGGATTTCGTAAGGAAGGGATTAAACAGACAAGTCTAGACTAATATAAAACCAGACAAACGCTTATTTTATTGTCTGCTAACGTTACATCTGTCACCTGGGGAGGATGCTTTCGTTTGGCCAGTGACCTGTTAGCTTTAGCTTTAGCCTCATTCATCTAGCATCGTTCCATGTATGTAGTGACCTCTCAAATTGGGAACATTAAAAAAGTCAGTCCAACACAGAGCTGTTAACCAACTCATGGATGGTTAATTAGCTAGCTTACTACAGCTGATATAATTACAACACTTCAGCCTACAAACTGAAGGTTCCTCGACCAAAAAGAGCCCACTTTTGTCTACTTATATGTAAAATAAAATGCCCATTGTTTCAAAAATAATTATACATTTAGACATTATACATCTTCCTGTGTTATCATCATGTGACAACACAGAAGAAATGACACTTTGCTACAATGTAAGTAGTGATCAAACATGATCAAATATTTACAAAAATTTGTGAGATACAGTATATGGCGGGCTAGATGGAAAACTTGACCGGTGTAGAACAACTGCGAGGCTTAGCAAAGAGTCAACTGGACAGTTCACCCCTAAATCAAATTGTGTTTGATTATCCATTGAATCACGTCAGTCGACCGTCCACTGACATTCATACCACTGCCACATAAATACAGTTTGTGTATGCACAGGCGACTGTCATTGAATGAATTCACTCAAAGGTTCCTTTTTTAAGAGTTGCTGTCCACTCATCCGCCAGATGGTTCTGCTTACTCACCGTGTCCTACGGTGCCACCACCAAAACAAACATCTGAGAAAAATATACACATTAAACTGTCGACATATTGCTCCAGTATTACATTGTATATAAGGATATTTAATGAAACTGTAAACTACCCCTGTACACTTTTAACGTTGAAAGATACAGTAAGACGGAGCTGCTTATGACAGTATGAAAATGTTCACTTCGGGTTGAAATGTGCCTTTTCATATTGTTATTTTACTGGTATTAGTCCATTTCTTCTTTAACATTTTGTAAGATCACTACATGTTATTTAAGTTTTTAAACATAATTTAGAAGCAGGACACTATTTGGAGTAATTCATGAATAATGTTGTTGATTTTTACCCTCAGCACCTCGTACCGCTCCTACCTACTGGATGACCAAGTCCACGGCAGAGCAGACCTAGGAGGTCTGATCAAGGCCCTGCAGTCTGGCTGTCGATGCGTGGAGCTGGGAGTGACTGATGGTCCAGAGGGGGAGCCTCTCCTTGGAGTGGACTATGGGCCAGATATCCCTCGTCACCATCACCACCACCATCACCACCACCATACGCTTGTCACTATCCGCTCTGCTCTGGAGGTGGTCAATAAGTATGCCTTCCTGACTTCTCAGTACCCACTCCTGTTGTACTTGTGCCAGCGCTGCTCTCCTGCCCAGCAGCGTACCATGGCTCAGCACATGAAGAAAGTGTTTGGCTCCCGTCTTTACACTCCAGAGGCCCTCCCTGTCAGCTTGGGAGGGCGAGCCACAACCTTACCCTCCCCTGAGCAGCTGAAGGGACGCATCCTGATAGTGGGGAAGAAGCTCCCTCAAGAGCAGCCGGGCTCTGATGGGGAGATATCTGAGGAGGATGAGGAGATAGGAGGAGGGGGGCCTCTGGCAGGACGGCGAATGACCATCCCTGGTGAGGAAGAACTGGGTGTGGTCTTGGTAGTGCCTCCGCCCTCTCAACCCAGGAAGCTGCGGCTCCACAAAGAGCTGTCAGACCTGGTGGCTATCGGTCGGACGGGCAGCCGCAGCTTCTACGCCCAGAGAGCCAGTCACAAACAGCAGCAGTCACCACCCAGCAGTCCCTCCTCTCCCAGCACGCCAATGCTTCCTGAGCCGCCTTATTGGACATTGTGCTCCCTGGGTGAGGGAGAGGCCGGGCGGCTGTCCACTGAGAGTCCAGAGGACCTTGTAGTGTTCACCAAGCGCACCCTAACCCGGGTACGACCCAGTTCAGTGCGTCTGGACTCCAGTAACCCCAACCCTCAAGGATACTGGAAAGGAGGGGTCCAGCTTGTGGCCTTGAACCAGCAGACTCCCGGCGCCATGCTGGACCTTCACAGAGGTCGCTTCTCACAGAACGGAGGGTGTGGTTATGTTCTCCGACCCGCTGTAATGAGGGATGAGGTGTCGTATTTCAGTGCCCACACGCAGGGCTGTGTGCCAGGAGTGCCGGCTCAAACTCTACGGATTAAGGTGTAGATGTTGTTTTCTAACATTCAGATTTGATTTATGCTAACACATTTGATTCTGAGTGAGTTTCGCTGCAGTATTTTAATTGTTTTTTACTCACTGAAGCGCTTTTTTTTGTACACCAGTCAATCCAGAAATTAAATATGGAGCATAATCTCAGATTAAATGTATGTTGAAGGGCCCTAAATATGGAATTCTGTGATTGTACTGCTTTGTTAATTGTGTACATTTTTGTTTCATTTCATATTTTCTGTGATTTTGTGAATGGAGCTGCTGTGATGCAAGAAACATTTCATACTTGATCTGACGTAATTCATTTAACATCAACTTCTTCATGTTCCACCGTCTCCAGGTTATCAGTGCCCATAACCTGCCCAAGCCTCAGGGATCAGGGGCTAAAGGTGAGGTCATTGACCCGTACGTGGTTCTGGAGCTGCATGGCGTACCGGCTGACTGTGCTGAACAGCGGACACGCACCGCTGCTCAGAACCAGGACGACCCGCTGTTTGATGAGACCTTTGAGTTTCAAGTAAGGCGTGAGTTTCTGTTCAATGGAACAGATGCTGCTCTTTTTGTTTGCTGCATTTTCTATGAGTTTATTTAGAGTTATTTAAGCTACTTATATCATGAAACAGGAATTAATACTGCAAAGAGGACGGTCTAGACCTGCTCTATGAAAAGTGCAATGAGGTAACTTCTGTTATGAATTGGCGGCATATAAATAAAAAGTTAACTGAATTTGTGTCCAGGTCCAGGTATTGTCAACTAATACATTTGCAATTTGCAGTTTTGGTGACCAGAAGATGATTGCAAGTGTGGCACCCCACGCTCCAATCTTGAGTAGGGTACGATGCAGCCTTGATGCATTGTTTTTAGGAGGAATTTATTATTGGGTTAGATGGTAAAGATGTGTCACATTAATTCCTCTAATCTCTTTTCAAAATAAGTTTTAAAAAATTAGAGTCACAAAACACAAACATACAGCTCCCCTAAATATTATTATACACTACATAACCTAAAATATAACCTAACTAAGTAAGTGTTTTGTGAGACACTGAAATCCTATTCATCATAATACTGTATTTATAAGGTTGCATTCACAAGACAGTTACATTTGGGTTGTTCACATGTGCAAAGTAATATCCATACAGGAAATTCTGAGAAAAGATACAGCCTGTTTAAGCCATTTACATAACTGCATGACAGCTCCTAGTAATAATCCTGTTTACGGGACCAAAAATATCATTTTAATTTTCTAGATAAATTTGTTAATTTTCTATTTTTCTTAAAGAAAGAGCTCAGGATGCATTCTGAGGTCCCAGTTCTGCAATGATTTCACTGAAAAAGTTGGTCCTCTTATTTTGCTTTTGCTTGGTGCCGTTTCAGAAGCATATTGTGGTCTGAGGTTATTGTTAAGAATCATCCATAAATTTAACCCTGCACAGACCTTTATTGCATAAATTACATTTTAATGTGCATTTAAAAGTGTGCTAGATTAATGATTTATGGGAAAGCCAAAGCGGAGATTGTCAACAACGTAAAAGAGGCTTATGTGATTTTGGAGAGGCCTACGTCTGTTATTCTGTCGGCTTTGCACCTGCATGAAAATGGAGCCCAGAGTACTTAATTGAAGGGGGGTCAAGACAATCAAGATTTAAATTAGGTGCTCCAATGAATACACTTATGTCTGCAGTGAATTTATTATAGGAGACGGGATTTTATGACGGCGATGTTGCTGATTGGGCTTTTATATCCCTCACTGACAGTCCTGTATTAGTGCGGCTGAGCCATAATGACAAGCTGTCACAACTGATATGGCATGTTCCCTGTGTGTGTGTATGTTCAGCTTCCTGACATAATGTACCTTCACAAAGAGTTGCATAATATCTGTAATTCAAAAGAGTATTTGACTGTAATTACATTGGCTCTTTGGCAGAGACAGACATAAAGTAAAATTTGAACGGACAATTTGGCTGTCTGACACAAATGCTTGCAAAATGCAACCGATGCTAACGTGCAAGACCTACTTCATTAATTTAGCTATTTGATGTTTTATACTATAGATCCATCTGAGAAGCTGCAGAGCTGCCGCTATACATTCAACTTACACTGTAAATTTCTGGCTAAACTGAGGCTTTTTGAAGGCCCTTTCTCTCTCTCTCTCTCTCTCTCTCTCTCTCTCTCTCTCTCTCTCTCTCTGCCTGTCATTCACCGGTCTTGTGTGAGTTTTCCGTGTTGCTGACAACTGCATGCACGTCGCGGTTCCTCGCGGGTCTTTTTCAAGTAGCCGGCTATTTAAAAATGCCAGGCAGAGTGCAATATCTACTTTTTGAGGGTCAAAGGGCACATCAGCGGTCCTGGTTTTTATCTATAAAAAATGTCTACCTAAGAAGGTATTACATGAATACGTTGCCACCAATCTAACCACAACATGTTTGACTGGCTAGTCTCAAAACTTTATAGGCATTTTTCTCACTTTCAGTGTTTGCGTAGTTACTGCACTTAGACTTTGTAGGGCAGTATACTCCTCTTAATTAAATTCATGTTGAGTGGCTTTCGAATTCAGATGTGTCACGTGCAGTATTTACTACCACACTGTCTGGTTGGTCCACAAATGCAAAAGCAGACTGAGACCCACGTCACCAAACTTATTGGATGTGAAATCACCCTTACCTGTTACAATGATAAGCCTTTTGCCTGCTGTTTTCTTGCCATCTTAAGTATTTATTAGTGATGAAAAGAAATAAAAGGGTTTCAAATGGGAGGACGGTAGAAAGCGGCCTGGACTAATTTCACAATCGGGACAAATTTCTGCCAGATCGGTTGTTTTGACATTCAGCTTGAGCGGGTTTGTCAGAAATGTTGGTCGTTGTCTTTAGTTTGAGCAGGTCCGTGGTCCATTTTCCTTAATGGCTGCTGTCAAAAGATAACTGTAGTGTGTTTTTTAAATATTAGTCATAGTTTTTACATGTTTATTTGTAGTCTGAGACCTTCAGCTCCATATTTTCTTTTTTTCTTCTCACTTTCCATTGATAGTAGAACTGCACAAAGTAAAGTTGCATTTGCGTTGCGTGGCTGTTTTGTTTTAATAAACTTTATTGGAATTGTCACTGGATAAAAAGCTGACCAGGGGTTCCCATGCTTATCAATGTGAGCACAAGAGGCACAGGGCTGGATTTACTAACATCCCAAATAAAGAGTACTAAATTGCGTGTGCATTCTAAAATTTTGCACGTGTAGGCTAATTGTATTAGGCTACCTGCCACCTGGATGATTACTAAGAATTAACTAAGAACAGGAGCAAACACAATGGAGGTGGCAGTATTTAAATAAGGGTTTTTCGTGTTTTAATGGTGTCCGCCATGGACAGTCCGGAAGGAAAGCAGCCAGTGCCACTTGGATATAGAATAATATTATCTAATATTTTTCTTTCATTAGGGCTGTGTCTCCTTCTCGCAACCATAACCACAGCCTATCTCTGCGCAATAGTGATGTGTGATACCACTTAATTCTTATACGATCCAATACCAAGTAATACCCAGGGTGGTCTTGCCGATAGCGAACCAATACTTTTACATATTTTATTTCTAGTTTAATGTGACCCAGCGGCTCACTTCAAAGAAGCTCCGTCACAGAGCCGTAGCACAAGCATGACTTTGACAGACGGAAGGAGAAGTAGTTCCTATCAACCGAATATAATTAGATCATCCTGGTGACAGTAAGATACTTATGATAAAACACACACTCAGTCCTAATTACTGAGTTTAGATATCGATCCTTTGAGTGTCGATCCTAGAGCAGGAAACGTTGGTATCAGAAATATTGATACTTTAGATCAGCTTACATGTTAATTTGCTGGTGATATCAGGTTTGCACATATTTTTACTCACGCAAACGTTTAGTAAATCTGTACAAGATTAATATACTGTGTCTGCCCAGCTTCAGCAAGGAGCAAGTCTCGCTGGCATTTGGAGGATTGTAACCAAATGAACCGGAGGGCAGTGTGCCATGTCATACACACACACACACACACACACACACACACACACACACACAGGAAACACACAGGCACAGTCGAGGCCATGCTGTTTGGTTAAGTGTGCGTATCAGCCTGTTGAAGCATGCTCTCATATGTCTTAATCATTTGTCTGCCAGGCTTTGACACAGCTCAGACACTGGGCAGCCATGTCAGCACACACTTCCTGAACACACACACCTAAACGCAGTGCAACGCGTTACTCCTATGCACACGTATTAAGTGTGTGTTTAACGGGTGTGACTGGTGCAATGTTTTGTGAAACAAAAATGTGATCATGAAACTGAACACTGGATAATTTATTGTTTTGGTTTACGTACAGTGCATGAAAGGGGAACTCGATTTTAAACATCAAAGTCTGTCTGCAGGTCTTGTGGAAAAAGTTGTATAAAGCATTTAGTGGCTCCTGAGGGAGTTTACCAGACCGCTGTAGCCCGCTGCTCATCTCTACTGCAGGCTAGAGGCTCAAGGCTACTAGCACAACACACCTGAATCTCCAACTGTCAGCAAGTTGGGTTGCATTGTGGGTAATGTATGTGCCAGGTCTTCACAAGAAAGAATTTCACTGTCACTGGTCTCAACTGCTGCTTGTTGATATGCTCATGTTATTTTCTTTTTTATACAGAAATATATAATGTGTTTTTTGAAATTATTTTTTATGGCCAGTTGAAGTTTTAGCAAAATGGTACTTGAGCCCAGTTCAGACATTCACTCTTTATCTTAATGGGCACAGTCTCATCTAGATGTTTTTTCCCCCTTCAGGCTTGTATTATGTAAATATAGATCCACTTTATTTTATTAATATAAGACTTCATAATTTAAATTTTGCATAAAATTATGTCAGAAAAGCTATTTGGTTGAGTTTGAAAATCCCCAATTTAATGCGTTTGAAGAAATAAATAAGAAATTATCTACAGCCATAATTTGTTTCTGTGAGCGTATGGAACTGTGAACACGGTATTGTCTATCATACTGAGCTGTGACATGAATGTAACATAACAACTCCAGATATAAGGACAATGTAAGAGTAGAGATTCAGTCTGAGATAGTGTCCTGTGCCTCATTGTCTTTTCAGAAGAACATTTGGTTTGAAACTGATTGAATTAACTGTCACAGAGCTTTTCTGCTCTGCCACGGGCTTGTTGCTGAAAAACCGAGAATGGGATTGGAGTCATCATTTGGCGGACACACACACACACACACACACACACACACACACACACACACACACACACACACACACACACACACACACAGTCTGTTGGAGCTGTCTTTCTGGCTTGTCCATGCATGAAACTTCAGCTTTTCTCTCAACCACTCAGCCCTCACTCACAGTTTATGGAAGTGGAGACACATTCACACACACACACACACACACACACACACACACACACACACACACACACACACACACACACACGGGGTATATTCTTTATAATAGTGCAGTCCAAGCCTAAGGGGGGCAGCCCAGTCCTCCTTCAGTCAGTGTGACATGTTCTCTGCTCCTTCATCCATCACCAGCTTGTCCCTCATACTAGAATAGAATTACCATTAACCTGCATGCATCTGTGTCTGTGTGATTTTTATTACCTTCTCATGAAATTACATTTCTACCTCAGTGTAAGTCCCTCTGGCTATGTTAGGACAGGCTATGTAGACACAGCCTGTTGCAGTGATTCATATTTTATAAGTTGATCATACATTTGTTAATGAAATAGAATTACTTACGAGAAGGACCTCAAAATTGTACTCAAGTGCAGTACTTTTTTCAGTCAATTTACTTTCCACCACTGGGATTAACACTAACCTTGTTAGTCCTCACTTACTGATTTGACATCTGCCCTCTGATACAAAACTGAAATATTTGTATAAAATGTGTTATCCTCAAATGAATACAAAGAAATAAACAAAACGTTAATGGTCAGCCGGTCAGCTGCTAATTAGTCAATAAGCCACTGATTCTGAAGGATTAATAAAGGCTTTTAGCCAATCACCTGATGCTCTGCCTGAACCAATGTAAAGCTGCGTTAGTTTTAGCTTTTCTGAGGCTGGACAGTCCCAGTTTGGGAGAAGGCTCAGGCGGCTCAGACCTCCGTAGGCTACATCTTTGTGGGACATGTCCCTCGAAGACAGCAGCCTCTGAATTGGGACACAGCTGCTGAGTTCTATGAATATAAATCTTGAACTGAATGAACAATAGTCCTGCTGTTTTTTGTTTCCGGTGCAATAAGTGCGCTTTACCACAGAGTGGAACAAAAAGAAATGTCTTTAATGCTGCGGTACAGAACATTTCTAACATCAGACTTTTAGATTAAACACACACAGTGGCTTGGGGCAAGTCAATTCTCATTCTCTGTAGGAAATTATTGATTGTTTTCTACTATAAACAGGACACAGATTACCATCTATGTTTGTTTGTGTGTGTGTGACTTTACCATGCTTTTTGAAGAGAAAAAAGACATTTGTTGATAATATTTTATTGGGAAATTAGTTTCTCTGTTCCCCTGCACAGAATGAATATGCACAGACACACACCTAGCATCATTTGTCCTCCCACTTACTCTGTGTGTATGTGTGTGTGTGTGTGTGTGCATGTGCATTTTCATGTTTGTGTGAATGTCTCTGCATGAACATGTCCTGGTTTTTATAGCATTATTAAACGAAGGGAAGGTAAAGTCCTCTGAAGGTGTTATCTGAAATGTAATAATTCAACCAGCCGTTTGCAGCAGCACCAGAATGCTCCTTTCATTGCAGCATGTAATTAACATTTATGCTGAGCCTGAATAGCTTCATGAGTGACACTCAATAACAGGAAATAGTGTCTGAACTTCTCACTTGAATATTGTGACTAATTGATCATCATTTGCTGCTGTAAACATTTAATGAAGTGCATCTTTTCTTCCTAATAAGAGCGGACATGACGATTTCAAATCAAGAGATGATTAATGTACAGATACATTTAAATGCTGTGTGGGTGTCTGCGCCTCCTCAGGTGACACAACATTAAACTTTCAAAAGCCTAGATAATCAAACAAATGAGCTTCCTTCTGGAAAATGCAATTTACTGGAGCTCAGGAGTTCTGAGAGGTAAATAACATTGATTTAACAAGGAATTAGTAATTCCTCTTCTTATAATTGGAAAGTCAAGGCTCTGCCTATGTATGGCCGTGGTTTTATTTTTGTACTGCTTCACAGCAGTATGAATGGATTTCACCTTCATCTTTCTTTCATTTCTTGTCTCTAGGTAAACATGCCAGAGCTGGCCTTGCTGCGTTTCGTGGTATTAGATGACGACTACATTGGGGACGATTTCATTGGCCAGTACAGTGTGGCCTTTGAGTGCCTTCAGCCTGGTTATCGCAATGTGCCCCTGCTGGGCATGGCGGGGGACCCCTTACCCCACACCAGCCTGTTTGTCCATGTGGCGATCACCAACCGGCGAGGAGGCGGGAAGGCCCAGCGACGAGGTCTGTCAGTGAGGAGGGTAGGGAGGCGTGGGCGGGAGTACGTCACACTAAGGCACACTGGCATCAAGGTGGTGGACGAGACTTTCAAGCCGGCTAGTGCACCTCAAAGAGGCAACGGACCTGCGGGAGGATGCTCAGGTGAGAGGGGATATGAATTGTGATTATCAAGCCATTGATAAAATATATATTCCTCCCAGCTGCAGGAAGGGAGACTTAATAGACTAACTTTTATAAAAGTTTATCCAAATCATAAAAATAACACTTAATCCCATTGTATCAAGCCATGCACATGGTGTAGATTTTATGTGCTAAGGCAAAGGCTTTAGTTTGACACTGTATTTCAAAATGTTTCAATTTACACTTCAAACATACAAAAGCACTTCTGGTTCTGAGTTCAGTCAGAGTCTGAGCACAGGCACACTTCCAAACACACGTCTGTTTATCTGAACAGAACAATAAATGGCATCGTTTTGCTACTTGAAGTACCGTAATTGCCTCCATAAAGTGAGCCATCAGAAGACCAGCATACACCTGTCCCTTTTAACCTCACGCGCCTCTTCAAATCACCTCCCTGGGGAGGTGTACTGGAATGTACTGGCTACACTGGGTAATCCACAGACCACCGTCTTAACATTCAGGATATTTTTTAAAAGAAAGGAAATTAAAAGTGTCCAGTAAGGATTTTGGATAATCCAGAGTAACCAGGACATTCTCCTGGAAAGAGAAGTTTAAAGAGTTTTTCAATCATTCATTGCTTTGAGCAGCACAAACACATTTCCATTTATCTTTATCGTGTTCATCTCAAAACCTGGGCACATACAATCAAAACTACCTGCACTGGATTCTCCTGGAGTTGAGTGAGAACACCAAACCAAACACTTTCTCTGGCACTTTGTGTTAAATTGGCTTATGTGGCAAACCCCAGCCAGGCAAGAAATGCTAACAGCTGAGTCACCAGATCAGGTGTTACTTAGCTTTTGTATTTTTAGGCTTTCTTGATGAAGATGTCTGGTTGTGAGGGTCAATTGGAGTAGCTCACATGATGGTGCTGAAATCAGACACCACCTGAGGTATCTTTGTAGGGCAAAGAAACCAGAGAGAAAGAGAGTGGAGGAGGAATGCCAGTGACAAAAGAAGAGTGGAGGAGGCGTATCTATAAATACCTGCAAAAATAGAACCTGGTCGCACAGCACCCACCAGCTTATCACTGAATACAAACAATCTAGAGGTGGGCGATGTGAATAGAATCCTCTTTCACTGTGTATCTGTTATTAGAGGTACATATTATGAGATATAAAGTATGTGGACACCCCCGCTCTTTCATGTTTCAACATGACAATTCCCCCGTGCACAAAGCTAGATCCATAAAGAAATGTGTTTGGTGTGGAAGAACTTTTAACTGGTTTGCACAGAATCCTGACCTCAACCCCATCCACCACCTTTAGGGTGAACTGTAATGCCGACGGTGAGCCAGACCAGCTCACCAATGCTCTCTGAATGGGAGCAAATCCCTCACAAAGCCATCCCAGAAGATCAGAGGCTCTTTATTGTATGAATAGTTTGACATTTTGGTGAAACAAGTGTACTGGCTACCATGAGAGTTAGATGAAGAGTCAGGACATGGTTAGCCTAGCTTTGCATAAAGACCGGAAGCAGGGGGAGGCAGATAGCCTGACTTTCTCCAAAGTTAAAATAGTTCCATACACAAATGGCAATATATTATGTGGTATTAGAGGGAGTTGTTTGCTGTAATAATTTCTTGTCGAACAACAGTTTATCCATCCACCTAGTACATCAGTGTAGTGTTTCCCTTGGTCGCCTGACAATCCCTCTGTGACGACAACTTTCTAGGAAGTCACTGTCTCATCTGGTGTTCACAAAGAAATAGTTACAGCACGTAACGCCTCATAAGACCACAAATTGTCAAAAGACATTTCTGTTTGTGTATGGATTAAACAAAGATGACAAAGCCTTAACACCATCCACCCACACACAGATGCAAGCAAAGACAAACCTGCTAGCAACAACGTCAGCAAAGACAGGCCTCCCCATCAACCTAAGACCAATTTAACGTGCATCTACAACACCAGCGATGACTCCATCTGACTGGAAAAAGCAGAGTTAGAAGACATTACCACCTTCACCAGCCTCGGAAGTGTTGTGAGCAAAGGTGTAGGAACAGATGCTGACATTAAAGCCCAAATTGGGAAGTCTAGAGCCGCTTTTGTTAGAGTAAGGCCCATCTGGATCTCAAAAGAAATATGCTAAAACACCAAACTCTGGATATTCAGCACCAACATTAAATCAGTGATGCTTTACGGTTCAGAAACATAGAGAGAAAACAAAATCCTCCTTCTAAAAAGTCCCCACCTTTTGTCAACAAAAGCCTAAGAACCATCTTGATGATACATTGGCCAAACACTATCATAAATAAAGATATGTGGGAGAAAAGAAATCAAGAGAAAGCATGCATCCAGATGAGGAAAAGGAAAAGGGCTGGATTGGACACACCCTAGGGAAGCCCAAAACCATTCCCACAAGAGAAGAGAAAACAAGGGAGACACAGAAACAGCTGCAGGAGGTCAATAGAGAGAGAAAGAAACGAAAGTACATGTGGATGAAGCTGGAGATGGCGGCCCAGGAACGGGGGGCGAGCAAGGCTAGCTATTTCCCACTGCTGAATTTATGTATAGCTAAGCTAATTGTCTCCTAGCTCAAGCTCTGTACCGAACGCACAGACACAAGAGTGGTGTTAATCTTCTCTTCAGACTTTTGGCAAGAATGCATTTGTTTTGGTTTTGTAGTTTTCAACATTCATAACAGGTGTATATGTTTAGGTGTCTGTATAGTTTTGGCCATGTAGTGCAGCTTTATGAATTAAATAACTTAAAGTTTATATTTGGTCCCCCGAAAAATCAAGATGTTCTATGACACTGATGGCACAAATCCTGTAATTCCTAAACTGCCATAAAGGACTCCTGCTCATTCATCTGCGTTTGCATTTCCCACAATAGTTGAATAGCCTCCTCAGTATAAACGGTAGAGCAAAATCCCTATCGTATCATGTATCACCCAACCCTGAACCAACCACTCTGTTAGACATCCTCCCACACAAACCCACACACACACACACACACACACACACACACACACACACACACACACACACACACACTCAGTCCTACACAGAAACACATTTGCTCATTCATAAACGGCTTTTAATCTGCCTGTTTCAATCTCCTCATTGTCCTTTCCCTCCGACTTAAACTCTCTCTGTCCCTGTCTTTCTGCCATGAGTCCAGCTGTGGGCTCATCTGCCATAGTCAGTTATTATTCATCATGCCTCTATTGCTGCGTGTCTGACACACACACACACACACACACACACACACACACACACACAGACACACTCACACTTCCACACAGGTGGGGCGTGATAACCGCTAGTCCAGTTGGGGCTCTGCCAGGTGGTAAAGTGCATTTAGTTAGGCAGCAGAAGTTTCCATTCTAGTGCTTATATGTGCAAAAAATATATCTTTTACCTTCATAATGAAGTGACCCAAAACGGCATTTCAGCAGATTGACACATGACTCCTATTTTGTTATCCATGTCAGATCTGCTAACCAACGCAGTGTTGCATCCTGACACACCTGGAGCAGTTTAAAAATAATCTAAATGCTATGATTTTTCCGGTCCACATTTATGCCATATTGACTTTTTTTTTGCCAAATGCGCTTAAGCTAAGGCTGATTTCACTAGATTAAAAGCAGCAATGACTGCCATATTGATTTAATTCACAAGAGAGACAGCAGATGACAGGCCAAAGGAGGGGTAGTGTGTGTGTGTGTTTGTGTGTGTGTGTGTGTGTGTGTGCGCACAGGGTGTCACCCTTTCTGACCTTTCCCAGCTTAGTTTTACAGCCGGAACTGTACATCTGATCTAATACTATTTTCTCTCTCCTCCTCTTCCTCCCCATCCCAAACTCTTTTCTCTCTCTCTCTCTCTCTCTCTCTCTCTCCCCCCCTGTGTATTTTGCCATCATACTGTTTCCAGAGCACCACCTCCAGTTTCAAAGAGCAGTGTGGGCTCCCCACGGTGGCCAAACTGAAGCAGTGCATCCAGAGCCTGGCCACCAGGCTGCAGAGCCCCGAGGGCATTATGGGGGCCACCATGGTGCTGAAGGAGGGTTACCCGTGTCTGGAGCCTCTGGTCAGCCTCTCAGAGCCGACACGCAAACTGCTTGCTGCCTACGACACGGTCAGTAAGACAAATGAGCATGGCGTGCATAGAGATGTGGACCCACTACACTGCCTGTTTGTTTGCATAGTAGATTTTACCCAAATGACCTTTCATTTAAATGGGTAACCACTAGTTTTGAATGCCACAATAAGGCTGACTGTTTTTCTTATTGTCAACAAAACCCTGTGAAAAGACCTGATATAACTTATTCCTTTTGTGCCACAGAGCTTCACTGTTAAACTATTAAAGTCATCAGTGAGCCACATTGTCGCACTGGGTGAAATATTCTTCATTGCAATGAGTCAATCCCATGTACAGCGCAAATAGTCACCATTGCACCAATATATATTAATCAGCGTCTGAAAATAGTCACCAACTAATTTACTCCTGTTTGAGAGATGTTGCTTAAAACTATGGTGTATAATACAGTACTAAAAGTATACAGCCACATTAGCAGCTCTGTTAAGTTGTACTCAGGAACAGTGGTTCTTTGAGCTAAATGCTAATGACCGCATGCCAACATGTCCTCAGTTACAGTTAACATGCTGATGTTTAGCAGGTATAATGTTCACCATCTTAGTTAAGCCAATTAAAATACTAACTAGTACCCAACTTAAAGGACCAGTGTGTAGGGTTTAGTGGCATCTAGCAGTGTAGTTGCAGATTGCAACCAACTGAATAAGACTCACGTCACCCTCCACTTCCAAGAGTGTAGGAGAACCTACGGTAGCCACGAAACTTGTGAAAAACACTAAACACTCTAGAGTCTGTGTTTGGTTTGTCAGTTCTGGGTTATTATAAAGGGCTCATTCTAAGGTCTGATCTTATTTTCAGGTGATTATACACTAATGAAAACATATTTATGAATATTTTATTCCCTTTCTGCTAAATCTTACACACTGCTCCTTTAAAGTACTGTGCCCATCTAGTTGGTGGTAAATTTGAGTCTAGACTGAAATTGTGGGCAAAACCAATCCATAAAATTAAATTCAATGGGTTTAAAATGGATTGTTGTGTCACACAGCGGCGGCTCTTTATCCTTTGTGTTAACTTTGAAAATAAAAAAGACTAAGAGTTTAAAGCCTTGCTAGTGTAATGGAAATATGTCCTTAAGTGAGTCTTACTAAACTATTCAATCCAGATGTCATGTAAGGGTTTTATTCTTTGCAAAGGGTCAGACAGACATACAGAGTCTGCAGAATGTAAGACAAAGAGTCAGTGAAGAACAGGTGACTTTATACTGTACGGGTATTACACCTATCTTAGGGAGGAAGGGAGTAGGGACCAACTGCCCTGAGATGAAGCCCTCTCATGGACAGTCAGATAAGAAAACTCTCTAATGAGCATCTTTCCAGTGGGTACTAACTGCAACCTAATAACATGATCAAACACCACATAGTTAAACATTGGTCTATAATAATGAAGCTTGCAAGGTGAAACAGTAAACACAGTAAAATATAAAATTTCCATCACACTAGCAAAGCAACTATGTGAGACTGTACTTTGAGCTAAACGGTAATGTCGGCATGCTGACAATGACAATGCTGACGTTGAGCAGACAATGTTTACCATATTAACCGTCTTAGCAAGTTAAAATGCTAACATTTGCGAATCAGCACTAAAAAGAACATTCATTCACCAGTCACTGCTATGCTTAGAGCCCCTGGCTTGTTTAAAATCTACATTTTGTGATACCCAACACCGAGTGTGCACACACATACCCACATGCAAACACACTGTCCTTAGGCATTAAAAATGCAGAAAGACGAGGTGACATGCATGAAACAGTCACCCACACTCCTCCTCAAGCACACACGCGCACACACTCACACACACACACACACCCCCTGACTACAAGCTGTGTGTCCTCCTACTCGATCTCCTCTTGCATCAGATCAGGACGGATCTCTCCCACCTGTTTTAGTGCTCAGCTATTACACCTACACACACCTCAGTACTTTTTGTTTTTAACCGTCACACCGTGTTTATGCACGTCAGTGGAGCTAATGATGTTTGAGTGTGAACCCAGCAAATGTGATCCCAGCAGGTCAGTGTCACGAAGCCACAGTTAGTGTGATCTCCAGTCGTACATCACACCTCTTCAGCCTTTCTGGGCGCATACAAGGCTTAGTCATCACACTCATCCTCCTCTCTCGATTATCTGCTGCCCTGGAGACTTCTGTCTTTTTCTTCCCTCCTTCCGTTTCTTTCCACCGATTCTTTATTTAACTTCATTCTATGTGTTGCTTTGCAACTCTGAGCATCCAAATTGTTAGCATTTAAGTTTCTTTGCAAATTCTGATACAATAACTTTGGTACCACGGAGGGCTCGCTCTGCATGGCGAGAGCCTCACCAACACCCTAGTTGCATTGACTCGTCTTTTCAAAGACGCCCCTTACATGCTTTGCGGCCCAGGGCAGAGCGCCCCAGGCTTCAGAGGCAGCTGCAACAACGTCTAACAGCGGGGTGAGAGGATGGTACACCACTGTCCTCCCCTCAAAAGTTATTCCCCACTGTTCGTCACCATAAGTCTTTGCCACTTGTTGATATAAGCACCATGGCATTGAACATAATGAGCCCAAAGTAAATCTTTACATTTGCAGATGATTGCCGCCCAGAAACAGCTGATTGAGAATGCAGATGCTGTTCAGGAGAGGATCGCCCAGGTGCAGAGAGAAGGTAAAGCGCACGGGCCAGTGAGAGATGAATGGTTTTGATGAGCGCTCAGGAATGAAACAACTACAGGACAGGATATGCCCTAAAAATGAAGTCTGACATGTACATCAAACAGCTGAACTTAGTGAGGGCGACTCCTCACAGAATGAGTCTGTCAGTAAACAACACAACAAGTGGAGATATTGTACCTTTTAGATTTGGACACTCCCAATTTCTCAGTATGGGTTTCTAATTAGAAAAGTCTAAAGGCGCTGTCATTTGTCATAAATCTGCTCTCGTAACACACTGCAGTTCTGTTTCAGATGTAATGCACCAGTATGACAGCTGCGCCTTTACAGTGAAAACCAAACATGTGTAGATGTCTTAAACCCTCTCACTGCCTTAGTTGAGTCCTGACCTCTAACTGCCAATATAAATGTCATGAGGATGGTTCTTTTGCATAAATATGTAAATTAAGTATCTGACAACCAACCCATAAAGACTTGTTTTTGACACTTGCCTCGAGTTAGTCACAAAAATTATTCAACCCCTTAGCCTGACAGTTATATTTCACCTGAATTTGAATTGTTGATGCCAACCCACGCCTGTAAACTGATGCTAAGCTCCCTTTTGGGTTTTTCAGGCATGGACTTCCATGAGGATCTTTCTCGGCTTGGGGAAAAGGAGGGACTGAAGGGACGCAAGCTAAGCAAAGCTGTGGAGAGTTTCACCTGGAACATCACTGTGCTCAAGGTACCTCAAAGCAAAACATAATGATAGAAAAACCCTTGGATTTTATAGGATCTGTGGCAGTTAAATGCCTGTTGCTGTGTGGTAATAAGGGTTAGGGGTTGAGACGGTTGAGAGAATCTGAAAGAGTTTAAAATAAGGCTGAAAATTTATTTTGAAAGACGTTTTCTTCCGTGTTTCATTTTAAAAGAAGAATTAAACCTTTTTATTTGCTGCTGCAGTACTGTAGTGGACACACAACTCCAGCTGTCCATACAAAGTTGAATGCAATAAAAAGGAACAAACTCACTCCATGGTTCAGCTAAAGCTAATAGCAGTCTGTCATAGTACATTCAAAATGGTTATTAGTTGTTCTCATTGCTAAAATAGGCACTTACCCTAATTACCTTTTGGCATCCATCTGTTCCTCATCACTGCAATAAAATGCTCTGTTAGGCTTTGAAAAGGCCACTTTCATTTGACACGGAAGACCACTTTATCACCATGCTGGCTTTGGTTGATGTGCTTCTTTGCAATGAATCTAAACTGTGAAATTGTCCCCCATTAACTGCATTTAACCTAAGATGCTGTTGTGTTCTGATGTAAAGAAAAGGACAGATGAAACCTGTATGTGTACTTATTCACCAGGGAGTATTAAATTTGCTCAGCACAAAAATGTTCACCTGCTAAAAGACTTAATGGCTGTGTTCGAAACGGAAGGCAGTTGCCTTGATTCCTCGATACTGTAATAGACAGCTGCAGCAGAAGGCATTTCATTCAAGTGAAGGCAGCTCTGTTTACATTGGTTTCGAACAGCCTTCTAGGCCAGCACTTAGGGCAACGTGTGGCGTCGGCACGCCGTCTTCTCTCTGATAGCCAGAAGAGACGCTAGCCTTAGCATCAGCTAACTAGCTATTGAAAAGCCAAACGGCTAACAGACGCCTCAGAAATCACACTGAACAAACTTGGTTGGTTACAGTCACGGGCTAATATGATAGTTCAGTCTTTAGTTCTCACTAGATTTTCAAAAATCTAAGCGAGAAAACTACTAAAAACTTTTAAAAACATGTATTTCAAATTCGGCTTGTTTGTCCGCCAACTTGGCAGTTTTTGAAAGCTATGGTGGCGGCGGCTGCAGCCGCACTCCTTTGTGGTTGATAGTCAGCATCAAGTCACCATCAATGCTGCCCATTGGCCATTACTGGGGCAGCTTGAAGGCATCTCAGGAGACAGGAAGAGATCGTTCGAGCCGTTTTGAACAGCACTCGATGCCTCGCTGTCCTGTTAGACACCTTCTGAGACAGCAGTTTAGCCCATTTTGAACAGCCAATATGTGCATTTTGGATCTTTATACATGCTGACATGAAACAGGAAGAGGCAACAATTCAGCTTTTTGCATGTTTACAAATGTTTTGTTTAAGATTTTCAGGATTTAATTTTTTAAATATCTTTAATAAAATTTTTAAGCTGGTGTAATCATTTACTTTTATATTAACAATGGATTAAATGATTATGTATATGTGAAAGAGGTTGTTCTTTGTGACAGACCCACAGAGAAAAAGCACACGACTGGCAGTTCCCCTTAGCTCTCCAAGCTTTCTTATAGCTTCTTGTTTTGGTTTTTCAGTCTGCGAATCAGCTTGTTAACCTTGTTTCCACCTAGAGCAGGCAGCTGTTTTCTGAAGACTACCTGCCCAGCACAAAACAGCAACTAGCTGGTGAATCAAGCAGAGCATCTCACAGCTAAAGAGTCAGAAGTGTTCTTCATGAGTTGGTGAAAACAAAAACAGAACTGAATGGAGAGTGAATGTTGGACTTGGACTGGAAATGCTTGGTCAGCTGCCTCCAAGTGACCCAAAAAACATAAATGAATGCAGCTTTAAATCTATTGCTAAAGATTTCTGCAGTTGTTCAGGATTAGCCTCCTGCCAATCACATCCCAGGAAACAAGCCCAGCTAATAATAGCCTGTATAACAGAATCAAATGCTATACTTCCACCTTCAGCTCTAGTTGAAATGTATTCTCCCTGTGTGCTGCAGGGTCAGAGTGATCTGTTACGGGGAGCTAAGATGGATTCCCTGGATGCCCTGAGGCAGCTGGCCTTGGCATGTGAAGCCTGTGGACTCACCTCCTCGTCCTCTTCCTCCAACTCCTCGTCCTCCACCTTCTCCACTGCCGAGCTGCACTACTCCTCCCACCCCCTGTCAGGCCGTCGAAGCAGCACACACGGCAACGGACGCATCTGATACCCCTCCCCCATCCAAAGATGAAAAGGGAGTGGACAGAATAATTACAGAGGATAAGAGAGAAAAGGAGGCAGGAGAGCGAGAAAGACTGGTGTAAAAAGCACCACAGGAGACATGATTTTCTTTCTGACAGAGTGTATCCCTTTATCCAGTGCAGTAAGTGTCTAGACTAGCCTAGACCAGAGCAGTATATCTGTTAAAGCCTTATAGTGAGTTCAATTTATCACTGAGGGTCCAGCCTGCGGAGAGGCTTTTCATGAATGTCGTAACTTTGAGGTAGTGAAACATAGAAAGGCACTCCACGCAGGTGCTTGAATGGTTCCTACTTTTTTTTTCTGAGAAAAAAAGTGTGACTCACATTATAACTCTGCAGGGTTTTCCCTCATTAGAGGGGAAATCATAGACACCTGAATAATTTGTGACAACGGGGCTGTTGTGGAGCTGACGTTTATGGTTCTGTTAGTGTTTCAGTTCAGAGATAGAATGCAGAATGGAGTTGATATAGAGCTGATGGGGCGAGTTATTCTTTGCCTCAGCATTTCAGCATGTACCTTTTGAAGGCAGCAAGATATATATGTGATTGTGTGTTTGTATGTGTGTGCACATGGCGGAGAGGGAAAGGTTCTTTAAGAGATTGATTGACAGGATGTGACCCACATAAAACACAGATGAAGAGTAACTAATTCAAGTAGCCTAGATTTATGGTGTAATACTACTTTTTTAAACTCACAAAGCTTTTATGGTATCCCTACTTTTGTTTTTAGATAGAACTAAAGTTACTGCAATAAAACTTCAACTTAAGACAGATATAACAGACAGTAAATGACAGGGAGTATTTGATGTCCACATGAAACCTTTTCCTATACCTGATTGGCTGAGCGTACCCCTTGTCTTTGGTCCTCAAACGCTAAAAACATGGTGGCTGTTCTGGTTACATCACATTTTTCCAAAGCTGTCAAAGCTGCAAATTTTGTTCTTCATTGAATTTCAGATGAAAAATAGACCTCATCTAAAGTACCAACAATGAGGTTTGGGAGTATGGAGCTGTAGAAAGTCACATACATCTGAACATCAGCTGATTTTATCTAATTGACTGACTTGTCTTTTCAGACTTCAGTCTCTTAGCAAATACTAAGCTCTTTCCTGGTTTGTTTAAAAGGCATTAAATAACTCCACAGATTAGTTGATACATGCAAAACATCAATTACCGCATTCGACAGATTCCGAGGATTAGTACATTTTCTAAACTTTAACTAAAATACAGAAGCACTCACACACAGGGTCTTGTTATCACCACTTGATAGCCTTTGAGTCTGTCATGTTCGCTTGGAGAGTGGATAGCTTGAAACAGGAGGAATGAGGTGTTGTGGAGAAGAGTAATTGGAGAAGTGTGTTGATACTGTAGTACTGCTGTAGTACATGTGTGGATCACATAACCTCCTCACGACACCAGCATGTAGGTAATTGGACTCTGTACGTGTGCGTTTGTGTGTAGGAAGAAGAGATTCCTGCAGCACTGATGAAGTACACTGTATTGATGTAGCAATAATAATAGTGGTACATTACAAGAAAGTCAATGAGGCTGTGTACTGGCTGAAAGATTGAAAACAATATTACTAACTGTATGGCTCAGTGATGCTTATAAATGTGTATGAAAACAACTACAAAAATGCTGTCTACTGATCAAGGCTTGTAGTTGTGCGTACCTGTCTGTGATGGCCACCTCTTGGTCTTTGAGTGTAATTGTGTATTTCTTCTTAATGCAGGAAAACACCTGATATTTGTTCTTTAACTTCAGCTTTTGTACTCATTTTCTTGGATCTTGTAATGCTGCGTTTGAACCAAACTTGACAAAAGTGATGCCAAGCAACACACAGGACTAAGCTGTTAGATTTACCTCCTTGAATATTGTCACACCTTACTATTCTCTGGTGAACAAAAGTATATCTCCACTGTTGGGGATTTTTTAGTCTTTGAAATGAAATGGAAATACATGTCTCAGAATGCATCATCATCCAGCTTTAAAACTACGCTGTTTTCTTGATTTCCAAGTCGTTAGCATTTTGGTTTTGCATTGGTTGATGTAATTTAAAAAGACAAGTAAGGCAGGTGTTTGAAAAGGTTTGATTAACAATTACTCATGATCTAGTGCACCATAGGTATTTTTTAAACAGTGGATTTGAACAAATGTATTCCCACCTGAATCTACTGGAGCTGAAAGTGCAGAGTGGGACATTTTGAATGTTAATTCTGCCCTTTGAGGGAGGCAGGAAGGTCGACCGATGAGAGACGAGGGTCACAGCTAAACATTGTAACAGATCAACCAGCCGGTGGCATTTTGCAGTAGACGGGGTGAGAAACACTGAAACACGGGGAGGACACTGAGGTTTACCAACTTGTTAAGCCCCTTTTAAGTGCTTGTGCAGGACTACTGTTTTTTTCTGAATGACATCCCATATTTTTGTATTCTGTTTTGTTGCCTTTCAGTTATCTACACATCCCTTTCCTTTTTTTAATACTATTAACCTCTTTTGTACCTCCACTTGTCTCCATCCTGTTATTCCTGCTGCTCTTCCGGAGGCTTCAGGTGGGGAGTAACAGAGCTGATGTACTGAGTCATAGCCACAGGAGGAGGTTGACCTACTAACATTTGCGTGTGAGTGTTTTTCTTTGTGTGTGTGTGTGTGTGTGTGTGAGAGAGAAGGCATACGCTCTTAAAAGACATACACTGAACAAAATTATAAACGCAACACTTTTGTTTTTGCTCCCATTCATCATGAGCTGAACTCAAAGATCTATGACTTTATCTATGTACACAAAAGTCCTATTTTTCTCAAGTATTGTTCACAAATCTGTCAAAATCTGCGTTAGTGAGCACTTCTCCTTTGCCGAGATAATTCATCCACCTCACAGGTGTAGCATATCAAGATGCTGATCAGACAGCATGGGTATTGTCTTAGGCTGGCCACAATAAAAGGCCACTCGAAAATGTGCAGTTTCACTGTGTTGGAAGGGCCCGGGGAGGTCCGGAAACCAGTCAGTATCTGGTGTGACCGCCATTTGCCTCACACAGTGCAACACATCTCCTTCGCATAGAGTTGATCAGATTGTTGATTGGGGCCTGTTGAATGTTGGTCCACTCCTCTTCAATGGCTGTGCGAAGAAGCACTCAGGTCGAGACCCCGATGAGGACGACCCGCATGAAGATGAGCTTCCCTGAGACGGTTCCTGAGAGTTTGTGCTTAAATTCTGTGGTTATTCAAACCGATTGTTGCACCAACTTTCCGGGTGGCTGGTCTCAGATGATCTTAGATGTGAAGATGCTGGATGTGGAGGTCCTGGGCTGGTGTGGTTACACGTGGTCTGCGGTTGTGAGGCCAGTAGGGCAGTCCCCAAAGGATTTACATAGTGGAATCAGAATTGTCAAGTCCTGCCTATAGTCGACTGATAGTCGATTCATGTGTGTTTTTGTGCACGGCGATTGCGAGCCAAAGCTAAACTGAGGCTTATTGTTGACTCCGTCTCTTCTGCAAGTGCTCCTCCACTGCCACTACACGCATACACGCTACGCCTACACATGCGCACTGACGACCCAGTGTTAGGGTTACAATTTTGGATTTATTCACACACTTTAAAAACATTTATTGGAAGTTTTTTTCTTTTTACGTGTTTATTTACAGCATTAAACGTTTGTAATAGGCTGTATATTAACTTATTGGTAGAAAACTGGTAGTTCTATGTAAAATCAGACGTTGAGCACTCCCATATCACCAAAAATGGCATGATCCTTGTTTCACTGCGAAGCTTCGAATGTGAGATTGACAGTCGAATCAGGCTCCACCCATTGAAGCATTGAATCTTTGAGGGGTCAACCCTAGAGGCCAGTTGGATGTACTGCCAAATTCTCTGAAACGCCTTATGGTAGAGAAACAAACAGTTCATGGGCAACAGCTCTGGTTGACATTCCTGCAGTCAGCATGCAAATTGCAATCTGTGGCATTGTGCTGTGTGATGGAACTGCACATTTTCAGTGGCCTTTTATTGTGGCCAGCCTAAGGCACACCTGTGCAGTACTCATGCTGTCTGATCAGCATCTTTATACGCCGCACTTGTGAGGTGGATGGATTATCTCGGCAAAGGAGAAGTGCTCACTGACACAGATTTTGACAGATTTGTGAACAATATTTGAGAGAAATAGGCCTTTTGTGTACATAGAGAAAGTCTTAGATCTTTGAGTTCAGCTCATGATGAATGGGTGGCAAAAACAAAAGTGTTGCGTTTATAATTTTGTTCAGTGTATGTTGAAGAGAGAGCAAAGGTTGAAAGATAGTGTAAAAATGGACTGATATTGGACTAACGTTTGATTACATGTGTTGTTGGCTATGCACACCTGCAGAGCCTCTTAGTTGGCTGTGAGAATAGACAGAATGACAGCACCTGCTGTTGTGGTCTATAATAACACTCTGACTCTCTGGGGGCCTTGGTATGTGTGTAAATGTTGGTGTGCTTATGTCTGTCATGATACCATGGTGCCCTAATTCCTGGCCTGATGATGCAAAGTGGTTCTCCTCATTGCCAAACTAATTGCCATATTTTCTCCTAATTGCACTGAAGCAGACAGCATCTTCAGGAGGATCTTCACTTACTCTGAGAGGTGTGCACAAGTATATGAAAACTACAGTTTTCATTGTCATCTCTCAGAGATCTGCTTGGAGGGAGGATCTCTTTGCATTATTGATGCATCAGCTCAAGTAAAACAAACCACGGTGTTGGCTTTCTGTGTTCCGGTTTACATACCTCCTGACACAGGTAATACAACTAGGTTAAAGAGTGAGCATGTGATGGGGCCTACTGTACCTGAGGAGACGCAGTGAAGTAGAAGGTCATAGGGTTCACCTTTTTGTAGGTGAACGTAAGCGAAATACAGGGTCAGGTTTCAGTACTTCATTCTCAGAATAATTCATTAGGTACACACTGTATTTACAAAGAAGATCTATGGTGGATAGTGACAACTGTGCTGCAGCATAAAAGGAAAGCAATATGAACAAGAAAAAATTTGCAGCTTGCTTTTTGAGTGGAGACCGACCTTTGCAGTGCGTCAGGAAGATACGTCTGAGCCACTGATTTGTAGCCTGATGATCCAAAAGGACCATACCTGTGTTTATGGATGATTTAACCTACTTACTTCAAATCATTTACTGTATACTTGCAGTAGCAAACATACCATTGTAGATGCATAGATGTGCTTGTATACCTTCCAGGCCGCTATTGGTTTCAGTTAATGTCAGTAAAAGTCAGCTTGCAGACTTGCTTCAAGTAATTCCATTTCAGTGAACATCATCCTCTGGTTTATGTTATCACATCGTGATGATGCAAATAAAAGCAACTGAATTTCTGTGATATGCATTAAAAAAGAGTCCCCATTTTTAAGCCATTTATATGCAAAAAGCCTGACTGACACAACCTTTCTCACAATGTACATCATTTGGTGTCTGGGTCTGAATTTGTAACGATAGAGTTCATCAATGCGACAGTAACCAACTCTGAGGTTCTCTGCAACTTGTGATTTCCCCAACAGCAGCATGCCACTTTCATAACAATATAACTGAGCATGATGTTCACTGTGATGGATCGCCTCTCTCAAGCATGTTACAGGTCTCCAGAGGCTGCAAAAGTTTGGGAAAATAGTCGGCAGTCAGGCAAAGTACATGATTTGTAGTAAATTAACTGAACTTGCAGAAACACCAGTGTGATCCTTCAAACATTCAAAAATAGGTTTTAGGTATGAAGCATTTTCCTGCCCTCATCATGCCTCTCACACACTCTGCTTCATATGTCACTGCATTTACCTTACCTGATGATATGTTTACCGCTGCAAAGGGGCACTGGGGTCTGCCACTCACTACAGTGCTTTACTATGATGTTCATTATACTGCATCTAATTTCTAACCAAATGCTGCACCCTGATCCCTGAAGTGTGGACTTCTCGACTTCCCTTTATACCCTTAAAAAGTGGAACAGATCTCTGTAAAGATCTGTCTTTCACTGTGATACAATTTAAAATTTTGAGTTTGAAGGATGGGAGTGGTAGACAGATCTGTGCTAAAGAGCAGGGTGTTGCATTGGGCTGCGTTGTATCTCTGTTACCCACGTGTCTTAACCTAGAGCTAGCTCTCTCTCTGCTCTTCTGTGTGTGATGCTTCCTAGCTTTGCAGACCAGTGGTCAAGTAGCGCTTAACATTAATTTGAATTGGAGAGTCGTTTATGCCTGTCATAGTGATGTGGACAAAGTTGTGTAACACTTGGAAATGTGTAAAGGTATTTTAGGTTCTATATTACCCGTGGCAACTGCAGTGTCTGTGTTGGCCTGTGTCTACGCCGCCGACCTTTTAATCAGTGTTGCTCTCTGTTCTTACAGTCACTGTATGTTTTTGTAAAATAGAAAAAAAAAGACCAAAAGAAGAGAACTATTTATTGAAGTGTGTTTTAAAAACCATAAATAAATCTAATTAATTAAACGGACCTTGCTTTTATTTTGAAAAGCTACTGTGTTTTCTATCTGACAAGTAATTATATATAACAAGAGTATGTATGCCAGACTAAATAAAGTTATCTTTTCCTGACCAAATCTTCTTGTTGCCTCTAATTTGTCTTCCTCTGTGCTAATACTGTTACACTGTGTAATATGTAGATGACCTCAGGCTTGTTCAGGCACACAATTGTACTGTTAAACTCACATGACATACTCCACCGGTGACCATTAAAAGAATATAAAAACTTGGCTCTTTTTTCATATAGTTAAAGTTTTGCCCATATTGGTAAGTATAACTTTCATCATTTACAAGTAAATTTTAAAAGCAAAGTAGGGATTTCTGGCGTCTACTTCTACCAACATGTGTGGAAAAGGGATCAGGTCAGAAGAGGTCAAAACTCCAGCAACTCAATATGGAACAACTTTATTGTGAGACCAGGATGTTCTGTCCACCAGCTGAAACACGCTGGTCTGTTAATAAAGTTGTTCTGTAAATATCTGTAATCAGATTTTGGTTGTCTGAGAAGCCAATAAACATTGCATTTTTTATTGGCTGCCTAACAGGCCTTTTCCCGAAAGAAATTTTGACGTCATAGTAGGATAAGCACAGGCGTAAATAAATAAAGTTAATGATTCCATTCAGATGCTCGGGATTCAGGGTCCTGGGGTTTATGCATGCTGGCTCTCTGTCACACTGTCATGGGCAGAGCAAAAGAGCAATCAATTATGTTATATTAGTAAAAGCACTTACACTATGACAAGTTAAAATATACGGAAGCCGAGAGCAGTTGTGCTTGCAATCATTTTAAAATCTTGACATAACAAAGCTTGTTTTCTTGTGATAAAGGGTTAATTTACTTCATTATCTTGAGAAAACAAAAGGACAATTTCTCGAAATAACGAGAAATAATTGTAGCCTACTAATGAAATAAACTGAAGTGCTCTAGCCTGTGAAATTGCAGCCGGGATAGTCTTCTCCTTAAATGACGAGGACAGATCTGAATGTTATC